CCCCTTTTCTGTTTTCCTGGGACTGTTTGACCCTGCTCTGGACAGCAAACCCAGGGGAGCCCCGGGAGCTCAGAGCTGTGGCCCAGCAGGCCTGGCCTGGGCCGCGGCATTGCCCAGCACAGGAGGGGCTGAGAGCAGAGTGAGCCGGGCTGCCCACAGAAAGAACTCTTCTAAATCTGCCATCTCCTCGCAACGGCGAGAGGTGTTCCTGTTTGCTACTGTTCATTTTGTGCTGGGAGGTGTGTTGCCTGTTGAATAAACAGGTTTTTTTCCACTTCTCTCCAATTTTTTTCGTTCTCCTTTTTCCCCCTGAGCCGACTGGGGGAGAGACTGCTTGGAATCTTTTTCTTTTTTTTTTCCCCTGGAGGGACCTCATTCAGAGGTTTCCTCCCAAATTTATCCTAAACCAGGACAACCTGTGAATCCACGTTTCCTGCATAACTCCACATTTTGTTAATCAAACACAAGGAGCTCACAGCCTAACTCAGAGGTTCCACCCCTCAAAAATGAAACTTCTCATTTGTGCCAGTGCGTTCTGAGACTCCCTGCAGCAGACAGAAAGCTTTACCTCAAGCTCCCTGACAAGTCTCTCCTTCTGTCTATCCTTGAGATCCAGATGATCAGCCTGGAGCCTCAGGATCTCGCTGCATCCATGGTGCTCTACCTCCATATCCCTCAACTTCCTGAGCGTGTTTTGCAGGACAGCATTAGTTTCCTAAAGAGGAACAGGTAAATGAATTAATAAATACATCAAGGTGTTCTTTTGCTAAGATGAAGTATTGCAGTAGAGAGTTCAACAGGGGACTGCATTAAAAGATGTTAAAATTTTAGAATCTAAGACGCCAGCACATATCAACAAAAGTGTTTACCCAACAGCAGACATCTTTCAATCCATCACAAAAAATCTGTGTTGGCCCAAAAATCACTGTGAGCATCACACTCTGTGGTAACACTAAAATCAGAGCCAGATCTACACAGGAAATCTTTCCCTAAAAGAGTAGACCACTTCCAATCTCTTCTGTCTCCCAGCTCAGTGGCAGTGATAGAAATAAGGTGCATTTGGTGAAATGATGCATGGGGGCAAAAGTTCACTTTTGTTCTGATTTTAACTGCTAAAACTTCAAATTCGATGTTTTTAGAAACAGTTACGCCCACAGAATAAATAATTTTAATTCCTGCTATTCTGAAAAGGATTTTCTTCTACCTAGAAACTGAATTATTTTAAAATCTTATGAAGTCCTCAGTAGAATATAACTGTAGAAAATAACTGGTCCCGACTTTAATTTCTGCATACAGAAATTGAACTGAGCTGCAGGTTGGGACTTACTGGCATTACTGACATTACTGGACTCTGCAGCTCTGTGAGGTCACTGCTACAAAATCCTCATAGTCCATATGAACTTGGACTAAATTTCAGTTAATCTTCTAGCTTTGCATGTTCAGCAAGACAGATTTCTTCCCTTCGGAATGCAAAATAAATAAATAAATAAAACAAAATTAACCATTTGTACAGAAAATATACATGGAAAGATACAGAAATATTTATTTTTTTCAGGTTTATCTTCCAGATATTAACAAAAGTGAACTGGGAAATGGGAAATAAGTAACAGATAGTTTGCTGTAAAATGCTGCAAAAAATTTTAGAACATTTTATACTGGAAATGTAATTAACATTAGCAAGCTAAAATTGTCATGAATATATCAAGCTCATTAAACAAGTCAGCATGAGCTGCAGGATTTCAGAGTTTTGGAGAATTCCTGAACTCTTCGGAGGTGATAGGACTCTTTAATACTATCCCCATAGCCACCTGCAAATATTTGGTCATGAAAAACACGTCTTTTCTTTTTTTTTTTTTTTTAACCATGTGTAAACAGCACAGTCTCACAGGTATTCTAAGGAAAAATCCGTGAAGGGCTATGATCTCCTGCCTAACCACGAGGTGATGCTATTGCCCTTCCTACTGAGCTCCAACACCTCCTGTCCTGGACCAGGATACCCCGCCAGACCTCACCACAAATCTGTCACAAAGCAGAGAGGGTGGCTTTTCTTGTGTGTCCCAGAGTCACATTTCAATACTCGATGACTTCACTCCCATGCCTGCCTCAGCATTTTCACAGCCAAATTCAGAATTCCGGTTCATGAAGTGCAGTTTTTCCAACCAGGATTTGCCTGCTCAGGCTCACACTTCTGTGCACGTATTAAGACCACAGTTAAATCTCCCTTGCTTTCATTTTATAACTCAGAAAAACTAAAGGAGATTTAAACCGGGCCTGTAAATACACAACACAAAAGACTGCAACACCTTGAAAGTAATAATTTATAAACCCCTTCCTCTACAACCACTGGCAGAGAGAACACTGCCAGGGAGCTGACAGAAAACACAACGTCCCAAGCTATCCACTGCTCCTTTTGTCCCTTTTTGAGGACAAACATCACTTGACAGAGCATAGCATACTTTTTCAACATTGATCTTTTATGCAGCATTAAACTCTCTGAAGGTAGCTTCTACAAAACACTGTACACAACAGAAGGCAAGACCCTTCCAGAGCCTCCTCAAACTAACTCAGCCACTTAGTGCTAGCCAGAACTCAGAGCTTACTCTGCTGTATACCTGACAACTTAAAAAAGAAAACTGTCTAAAAGTAGCGTATATCCTGCCCTACTTTTGTAAGAATCAGTTTTGAATGAAAACTGACTCGTGTTTCTCCTTGTTTTGAGAAGGACCTTAGGTGCTGTGCACAAACTCCTTTGTTCTTCTCTACCACTTCGTGCAGATAGCTTGGGTTAGGTGATTACCATGACAAACAGCCACAACGCATTCCATCAAAGCCCCAAACCACTGTTACACACTAAGTGTAACTTCATAAAGCTGTAATCTTCAGAACTATTCTGCAGTATTTAGCTATTAGGGAGATTATTTTCCCCCTTAAAGCAGAAAAACCCCCATCCACCACAGACTTTGCACCAAAAAAACTTTCAGTCAGCATCTCATGAAACTTTCCATCTATTATTACATCATACCTGACAAGCCTTTTCCGTTTCAGTTTTTTCTTTAATAAGGAATTCCATTTCGGTGAGGTATGCTCTGTGGATGTTATCTCTCTCCACTGCAAATTTTTGTTGTTCCTCTTCCCATTGCCACAGAGCACTTTGAAACATTTTCTCAGTCTCTGCTACTTTCTGCCGGTATTTGTCGTTGAGTACTGTTGTTCACCAAAAAAAAAAAAAAAAAAAAAAAAAAAAAAAAAAAAAGAGAAAAAGACAAGTAACACTGCACTGCAAATAAGCATGTTCAGGAAAAAGAGGTATAATGAACATAAGTTCTTCTGTGTATTGTGATATCCTGTGAAATGCTAGAACATTAACACTTTCAGTTTCACTACAGAGAAACAATCACAATCACGTTTTGTGTTCCTGTAATATCTTTCACACAAGGATGGAGAAATGCTTTGGAGATTTTTACAAACTAAAGCTCTTCTCTCTTTGGAAAGAAATAAAAATCAACTCTTTCAAGAGTAGCATAGGGAACTTCATTGCATTTTTCTGGCAACACTTGGCTAGCTTATTTCCAAATACCTATGTGATACTTTAGTCAGTACCAATGAATTTCAGTTTAAGTAAAAATAAAGACAGACACCTGCCACATGAAAAAGACTCTAGGAAAATCTAAGGCAGGTTGGGCTAATGAGCACAGGCTTAGCTTTTCCGGGGAAATTTACTGCTGCTCAAGAGATTTCAATCTTCAGCCCAGCAGCTGCTCCAAGACAGGGAAATACTACATATACCTCTCTTTGAAATCTTAAATTCCAAGGAAAAGTTCTTTTCCTGTAAGCAGTCTTACTAGCAACTTTGCTTCATTTCACAAACTGGCTTTTGGATCAAAGTATTTTGTATTAGCTTTTTATGTTACTGAATACAACTAGCAATGTTTGCATTTATGTTATCATCACTTTCAAATAGATTTTTACTTCAAATTCATCCCATTCCTCTGAAATTTCTTCCTAGCTGGAGAAAGGTGAAAAAATCAGAAGAGATATGTTGGGAAACACAGAGAATTAGCGGACACAATGATGGGGAAGACCTGTCAGATGTCAGGAAGTCAAGCCTCGAGAAGAACAGCAGAAAAACAGTTTGGAGAAAACACTAAAGACATGGTGCAAGTGAGGCACTCTGTCTAAGAAGTTGGGATTGTATCAAAAGTACCACATGGTGAGCAAGGCTCCAAGAGACCAATTAAAAAAAAAAAAAAACAGAAAAAATCAAGAAACAAAACAAAACAACCAAAACCAAAACAAAACAAAAAAATAAACAAAAGAACCAAATAAAAAAAAAAGCCAGTTTTAGAATTTTAAAGCAACTGATTTTTATAATTTTTATAAATAAATTTTATAAATTTATAAATTTTTATAATTTGATTTTTATAATTTGTGTGTTCTCCAAATGAGTGAAAGCACAGATTTCTTATTATCTTTTAAAAAAAATCTGGCAGTGTAAGTGCACTTGCAAGTTTCAGTCTGCTTCCATCCTTGTAAGGTTACAAACTTCAGGAGTGCTCCAGTCTTTCAGTGAAGACCAAAGGTTCACAAATACATCTCCTATACTAAATTTAAACTTACATAGGTAATAAAAAATGCATCTCCCCAGCTTTTAAGTGTGAGAAATCTCTCTCTGTTTGAGAATAATTAAGAAAATTTGAGTTTCTGAATGAAGAACTAGTAGGGGAAAAAATGTCTAGGTAAACCCCTTCCTTTCCATGTACTACTGTCATAACACACATTTTTTGTATAAAAAGAAAACCAAAGAAAACACGAAGAGGCCAAATAAGAACAATGAAAAGTTAGAAATATGTGAAAAGATAAAAGAGAAAAAGCAGTACGATGAGAACTCCTGGGGAAAAAAAAAAGTTTTTGGAAAGAGTGTAAACAAATAAGCAGGACTAGATTTTATTTGTTTTCCCCCCTGAAATGAAAAAGGAAGAACTGCTGGACATAGTGACAAGCAGGATGTAGAGAGGGGCACCTTAATTATAATTCTGTACACAATGAAGGAAGGAGTAACAGAAGGTAAGGAGCAAGAGAAACAAGAGGGATTGATAGGTTTAGTAGATGATATTATATTTGATTCATATGAGATGCAAGGGTTTTGTAAACTCTTATGGACTTACAAAAGCAGATGAGTAAGACACGGGAAAATAAGAGATTTCCAAAAAAATGCAGTAGCCATAAAATTTTGTGCAATCTCTGCTTGTTTTAATGACTTGGGACTGATGTAGCCTATGGTCCATATTTTTTTTTTTAAACTTACCTTGCAGTTCCAAAAGCTTGGCTTTTATATCACATAGCTCATCCTCTGCAGAGCACATCTGCACATGAGCCTCTTTTTTAGCAAATGACATTTCACTTTCCAGAACTTGACGAAGAGCTTCTCCCCTCTCGAGTTCCAACCTTAATTTCATTATTTCTTTTTCATAGCGTGACATCTAGAAAATAAATATTTTGGAAACTGCATTCACAGCTGCCATCTCATCATGTCTGAATTTGAAATACAGTCTTGAAATTTCACATTTTGGATGCTTTTTTTAAAATGCAAAACTGATCCTGTTCTTATATGCTTTTCATGTACCTTAAACATACACCTCTGTTTTTCCACACATACTTCTGCCTTCAGACAATAGAAGATGTAATTATATTCCACAGGCAATTTTCTGATAACTGCATTAAACAACTAGAAAAACAGTCATGTTGGGATACTAGATTATCAGAGACCTAGTAACTCACTATGTAAACACAAATTCCAGTCCAATGATGTCCAGCAATCAAAAAGAATGCTATTAAACACAACAAACAAAACAAAAAAACACTTCAGAAAGGGTTCTTATCTGGTATAAGAAAGATAGTCTAGTCACTGCTGCCAGAAATTACCACATTCAAGCCATTTGAATGCAAGAAGGTGGAAGATAAAACATGCATTTCTTCAGAATATCTACAAAGGAGCAGTATCCTTATTAACATGAGCTCCATTAATGGGAAATAATTTAACTCCATTAAAAAGGTTTTCCCTGATGCTCTTGCGGCAAACTAGTACCTAAATGAAGTAGCAGTGAGAAAATATTTCATTAAAATTTTCTTTAGTTTGAATTATTATTACTGCTACAAGTAACAATTCTGCTCTTAGCAGTTTGTTAGGGGCAGCTGGTGTGGGTGGTCATTCACCTGTTTTAGATTAAATACAGACAATAAACCAAGCCTGTTGTTCCATATCCATTTTTTTTAGAGATTCCTGCTTCCTACACAGTGATTTGCTCTTGTGCTCCCATTGCTCCATCAACGGTGGGGTGATTCTCTAAAATGGATCCCTGGAATTACCAGGATTAAAACACTCAAACAAACAAACCGTGCCTTACATTGAGAATTCCAAAGCTGGGGGTGCAAAATATTCTTCTGCATGACTGCTGTTGTTTCTTACACACACCTTCAAGTATGAGCAATGACACTAAAAGTGGTATCAGTTCCTATGGACAGGCATGAGAGGTCTGTACAGGGCTATTTCTTTGTATTTTCCAACTAGTGACTGTGATTTTGATTCACTTGATGAGAGGCTTATTTCAAGGAAACAAACTGTATTTAAGGAAACAAATTACATTTATTTCAAGGGTAAAATCAAGCAAGCAAGCAAACAAACTCCTTACATCTTGATTGCGCTGATTGGTTAATTCCAAATTTATTTTCTCAAGCTTCTGGAGTTTTCTTCTCAAATCTTCAATGGTGTCCATTTCTGACGGATTTATATCCTGAGGTAATATTGGTCCTGAGCTGAAAAAAACATGAGTATTCCTTTGAAGTTTCAATGCTTCTTTATTTCAATTACCTATGTAATTGGGCCCATGGGCCCAGAGTTTTAAACATTCACATAAATAAAATTCTTTGAGCAGTTTTCATCTACTATTGCTCTTTGAAGAAAGGATTATATAGAATTGCTTATTTTGCAAGATATGAGACATATAGCAGCAGGAACTTAAAAGAGAAATGCACTTTGGATTAACCAAGTCAATTTAAGCATGTTCAGTATTATTTTTCAGTATCTTTATTTTTGATAATGAATGTCCATAACTTCTGACAATTAACTTCCAGGAGGCTTAAAAACATCATTCCAATCATGTAAGTTAAAATAACTGGCAAGCTTTTTGTCTCCACAGTTACTCTCATTTTTTAACATGAGTTACTATCTCAAAACCATCTCAGTCATGAAACAAATGCACAGATGTGGAAACAAAATCCCTCTTTTACTTTGTCTTCAGAGATACACACATTCAAACTACATGGAACTGATCACAAACACAACACAAATTAAAGGTTTAGTCCTCCAAACTACCCTGTTTTATCTTAATTTTCACTACTATTTCAGCTATAACAAAATCTATTAGGAAATTAGCAGAATCAGCCCTCAAGCACCTCAAGCAATAATAAAAGAGTCAAAACCAAGTTGCTGTATATGAAGTGAAAAATTTAAACATAGAATATACAAATTTATATACACACACACACATAAATATGTACACATACACATACATACATACATAGATATAGAAGTAAGTATATTAAAAACATGTTTATTAACTAGTTAAATAACTTTAAGTGAAATGATTAAAACTTGAAACTGGACAACTTTTAAGTTATTTCAGTACTTGAAAATCAGTGTTCACATCATTTGATATATGTTGGTTTTCACATTATTTTAAGTACATAAGACTGCAGTAATTTCTCCACACAAAAGTGCAAGAGTTTATGGGCAATAAATGTGAAATACACTGATAAAAGAAACATGGATAAATTAAGCACTAAGTTGGTATTATATAATACAGTAATGTAAATACTAAAATACAGTACCTTTGGATACATGAAGTATTTTTTACAGAAATGACACTGTACTGGTATTTAATTAATAGATCTTTCTAAATAAAAAGACCACTTTACCCCTAGATTTGTAGGCACAATTAACATTTTTCATTACCAAAAATTTACCTAATGATATATGTTTTCTCACACATTTTTTGACTGGCAAAAAGGACACAAATGCCATCAAGGAGGGGATCAGTAACTTAGATTAAATCTTGCCTATAAAGACATGATACTATTAGAGGATAAAATTTCAGGTTTTTAGCTGCAGACTTTAAATATTTAAATATAAAAATTATATGACACCGCAAGCATTAGCAAATTGAGAATGCTATGGAAATGAAAAACATATATGAGAGCATTAAAACAAAGAACATAATATCAAGGACTGGCAAAAAAATCATTAGACACCTTTCTGAAATATCATTTTATGAACGACTTCTGAGCTCACAGTGCAATTGATGGAAACTTTAAAATATATATTAGAAAACCCTAAGTTTTTTTCTTAGTATAGAACCAAAAAAACCCAAACCAACAAAATCAAACAAACAAACAAAGAAAAACCCCAGCCAACCAGTGACAGAACTACTGAACTATTACTATATCAACCACTTCATTTTGGTTGTCTACTTAAAGATTTTCAAATAAAATAAAAAGTAGCCTTAAGAATTTTTATTTCTGTGATACTTTCTTTAATGGTCACAGCATGGCCGGCAAACGCAGTACTGTACAAAAGCTTCTTACTACCACTTGTAGGAGATTTCTCCTTCAATCTTCATGTAACAACTAGAAGTGCTACCACCATAGAGCTCTCCGAAGATTCAAAGACAAAGCCTCACAAAGTCCCTGGAAAGTTTGAAAGCATGCACAATTTGCAGTCTAACAAAATTCAGAGAATGTCTTCTACTTCCATTTATATGTATTACTAATTAATCAACTCTTGGTTTTGAACTAAAATGTTTTTTACCAACTACAGCTTTTATCTAAGACACCATTTTTAGCAGGAATTTAAGGACCTTCAAGAAAGCATATGAGCAGGTGAAATAGCTCTTGAGTTCTACACTGCAGAAGGTATTTTGTAGCTCAAGACCTAAATTCTCAGTGTTCACAAGTCTGCTGATTACAGGCAACACTGACCATTGCAGAAAACCAGCTGTTCACTAACTTCAACTCCACGGCTGACAGAAAATGCAGAGTAATTTTGCAACAGAGAGAAATGTTCTTTCACTTAGTACCTAGCAGTGTAATTTTGCTGAACTTTGCAGCTGAAGGAGCAGACTGGTTTTCTAACCACAGTCCGTATTTGTGGAATTTTGCTGTTCCTCTGTAACTGACAGTTTTGTACAGACTAAAGAGAGACAAATACTTTGTGCTAAAGATCAAACTCCTATTAAGTTATAAAACACAGGGGTCATGGTAAGACTTAAAGCCAAGCTCTACCATCTTAATTATGTGGAAAACCCTCCTGTGCCTCCTGGGCAGTAGTCCTACGTGCTGGCAGAAATTCTCTCTACCTCCTGATGATTGTATGACGGCTTGCATGTATCACACCATATCTGGTTCTTCCTCAGCCTGAATTGCATCATTTCAGGCATCTAGAAAATAAATAAGCCACAAAAGCAGGAAATAAACTGCTAGATTTAAAAATCCAGAACTGGACCTCACTAATTAGCTTCCCTGGAAGGGATGTTGTCTGAAGAGGGTGAACTCATGGTGGTCAAAATGAAGTTTTTTAAGTCTAGAAACTGTGGAGAATTAAGAACATGGTTAGCCATATATACTTCTGCTTGATGAGCTTCTAAGATTGGTGTCTTCTATATAATAAAATTATTAAGTCCTCTAGAAGAGATATGCTTTATTTGCCAACCTAGTAAAATATTAATTTTTAACCACTCAGGAGCAGTTATCCAACAGTGTTACTACCATGTCACTTGAATAATTACCACAACTGCAATTTGACCTCGGGTTTAGAAAACAGAATTGCACTAGTAGTCCTCTAAGCCTGAATATTGTAGAAAAATAAATATATATATAAAGCAGGATATTTGCTGTCAGAATTTTCAGAACACCAATTAAAAATATTATGTTTGCATAGATTGAGCTACATTATCTTTAGCAGATTACAAATTCTGTTAAAATAGGTATCAATAGCTTACTAGCAGACAAAACGATAAATTCAAAAAGCATGCTCTTTCACTTCGGGAAAAAAAATTCCAGTGCCATGGAACAGCTCATGGGAGCTCTATAATTTAACGAAACAGCAAAGAAAGTTTTTGACTTGGAAATCATGTTTGATGTGTCACTAAAAACTTGTGTCAGTTTCTTCTTGCAAACTTCTAAATATATGCTAAATACTTCAGGCCACTGATTTAGAATAGGTATGAGGGAGAAATTCTCCACATTGAGGGTGGTGAGGCCCTGGCACAGGTTGCCCAGAGCACCTGCGGCTGTCCCATGCCTGGAAGTGTCCAAGATGAGGCTGGACAGGGCTTGGAGCAGCAATCTGGGAGAACGGAAGGTTCGCCTGCCCATGGCAGGGGCTGGAACAAGGCGTTTGGTGGTCCCACGACATTTGAAGGTGGTAGAGACCACTCAAGAATAAATCTAAACGTGATCTTAAAAAAATCTAACCGCATTAATTTAAAGCAGGCAAAGCCTGGAGCAATCAACAAACCCGCAGTGAAGCTACGGGAACTCACTGGGCAGTCTTGCCGCCGATGTCCGGAGTTGTGGCGCTTCTGCTCCTCCTCCAGCATGACGAGCTGGGATGCTCGGAGGGCAGCGGCTCCCGGCACCGCAGGAATTGCTGGGCTGGGACCAGCTGGGACAAACGCGGAGCCAGAGCCGGGAATTCCACGGTTGCCACGGACGCGCAAGGTGATGCCACAATGCTCCGAAGCGAGCGCGGGGCTCTGCCGGGGCTGCCGCTGCTCTCTCCGGCCTCTCGGACGTGTTGTAGGGCTTCAGGGCTCCCGACGGGAAAATAATAAAAGTGCGGGACATTGAAAGGACCGACTGACACAAAAACCAGACTGAGATGTGTGAATCCTCAGGACAGCGCACTCTTCGGCCAGGTTATAGAGAGGAACAAACAGCTCGAATGTTTTGAATGTCTGTGGACAGAATTCAAAGCAGGGCGCTCTCTGGAACAAAGGAGCACATTTCTGTCGAGGAGGAGGGAGTCAGGGTGTCCTAGGGTGATGTTATGGTGTTTGTATCTCCAATCGTGTATTCTGTTTATGCTTGGTATTATGTCCTGTGCTTTCAAGACTGACTCTGACAGTGAAGGTTTGTTTTGTCTTGTTATCTGCCGGCTCACCTCCCCCATGGTCTGTGTTTAGGAGAGGATGGCTGGTTTGGCTTGCTTACCTGCTTGCTTGCTCGCTTCTACCTCTTTTTCTTTCCTTTGCTTTGCCCTTGCTTTTGCTTATTAGTTAGTTCAGCTAGGCAGTCCAGCTTTTCCCCTGGACTGTTTCTCCCCCTGCACTCCATACCATCTGCACCTGTTCCGGACGGGGACCTGGGAAATACTGGAAACATCAAGAAACACTGGGAGTCTGCATTCTGTGACCTGCAGCAGCCACCCCCAGCGCCGGGGCTTGTTACTTGGGTGCCCCTTGGCGGGGGGGCTTTTTTGGTTTTTTCTTCCTTTCGGACGGTTGAAGGGTTTTTTTTTTCGGTTGTTTTTTTTTTTTTTTGTTGGGGGTTGTTTTGCTTTTTTAATTAACCGGTTTTTTTTTTTCCCTTTTTTTTTGGGGAATTTTTTCCTTACCCGGTTGTTGGGGGGGGTTTTGTTTTTTGGGGGTTCTTTTGGGGGGTTTTCCCCCAAATTTTGCCTTAACCCGGGCCGGTTTTTTAGTGCCTAACGTGAGGCTCGAGAAAGTGGAAAAAACCCTGCTCTAATAATCATTTGGTTCCAATTACATTGTGTTGGTATACAGCAATTACTGGCTATGTTGTTGGAATTCATGTCTTTTGGGGTGGAGGCCTGCATGTGTTTCTGTTCCCTAGGGTTTTTTGAGGTCTTAATACCTCTATGGTCCCTAGGTTTATTTTCTTATCCAGAAATAGCTCCAGTATTGTCCCTAATACATAGTTTCTGCAGCAGAGAGGCACTGACCAGAATATCCATTGGGCTGGGCTTGGTTGTAATGGCTTGCAGGAGGTTTGTAAAGGTGCTGGAGTCTGTTCCAGGAATGTATGGTTCATGGTTATGGTTATGCACCCAGTTTGTTAGAGGAGAAGCAGGGGATGAGGCTTTTCAGCCTTTGTTTTCTTTCTTCTCCTCTGAATTTGTTACATCCCTATTAGAGAATGTTCATTTTCCCCTGAATGTTAAAGAGACCATCTTTCTGGTGTTTAATCTGGTAAGCTTTCTCTATACAGTCTGCAGTTTCTCTAGAATGAGAGCTGAGATTTCTAGAGGGGCTGAGACCCCTGACCCAGGAGTAGAGCCAAGCATGAGAAATCCTGAGTGGTGTGGGAAATGGGAGGATATGGGCCAAATCTTAAAGGAATTTTCTGACCCTACATCCTGGGATTTTCCATGTGAAGAAATTCAGAACCCAGCTGAGGGGGCAAAGTACCTGAAAGAGAAGTGCCATGATAATTCTAAGGAGAA